CTTGTTGAGTTAAGACAACTTCGATTGAAACTTCAACCAACCAACAAACTACACTGAGTCAGAGGAATTCACTTTGTGATGATGATGATGATGATTTTTTTTAAGTGTTATGTAGTTAATTACTGTCATAAATAGTACAAGTTTTTAATTTGGCAAATAAAATAACTGGGGACAAACCATTTATTAGATCTTTTGAATAGATTCTCATTTTATTTTATTTTATCTTGCAGCCACATATTTAATCAAGCGGTGAGAACGAGCACACTCTCAGTGTGTCTCTTCTAGTCGGTTTCATGTTGAACACGATGTCAGAATGAGAGTTAATCACTGACAGACTGATCCTTCAGTCAACATTTTGGTTATGAGGGTGAATACCATGTTTAGTTCACCTATAGGGAAAACATCTCCAGTTTATGTATTGAAACATAAAAGTTCTGTCCATGCCTGGTTATAACTGATGTAACTACACAGCAACATGTGACAATAAGATGTGTTTTCATTGCTACTGTTATTACCACATTTTGCTGGTTGTGTTGGAATATTTAGTTTTGTGAAAGCACTGATAGCTTATCATTGACACTAGCATCATTTAATGTGTATCAATGTGTGAGTTGTGCTGATCTGAAGAAGGGGAAAGAAGGAAAAGGACTGACATCCAGGAAGCGGTGCATGTTAGTGGGCAGGTTTTCCTTTACAGGGCGTGGATGCTGTGGATTGGATGGATCAGGTGTCAAGAGAGATGGACATATCTGTGCACCAATAAAGGGAGAGCTAAGTTTAAACTACGGCTCCTCCCCAACCAGATAGCCATTCACGTTTCACGATTTGAATTCAATGTCTGTGTTTAGTAGCCAATCACCTTCCACTATACTGAATAAGATGTTTATGCTAACATGAGGCTACATCCATTGCTGGAGAAGTTGGTTACAGACTAACAGCTTGCTGACTGTGGTTTTCTGAATCAGTAATGGATCCTTGATCAAGTAGAATATTATATTGCAGAATAAATAACACAAAATGAGAGAAGTAGTTTGTCTTCTATCTCAAAAGAACGAACACGCCTCAACAGTTGCTCAAATAATTAGAGAGGTCACGTTCTATAATGAATCCGTCTGCACATTATTGTCAATGATAAATATCCTGCTGTCAATAAAAAGAAAACAACGTGACGACAGAAACAAAACTGAATCAAACTGGACTCCTACAAAGAGCTGGAAGAAACAAACTATAGTTCAGCTCCTGTTAATGTTTTCTTGCTCTGTGTTTGTCCTCTGTCAACTAAAAGCACCTTTTTTCATTCTGCCTCATTCAGTCACTTGAATAGATGCATTCACTGACACTTGGACATCAGAGTTTCAGTCTAAGTGTTACTGGAGACACCTGCTGGTAAAGATCACTGACAGCAGCTGAATCATGAATGTGAAGCTGCTGTGATGCAAACATCCGTCACAGCACGTCGAGCTGAATCCACACAGGCTCCTTCATTTGTTGATGTTTTTCTAAAAACTGGGTCCCAATCATCTCCAGACGTTCCTCGGCTGTCTGATAGTTTACATTTGCTTCACTCCTTTGCAGTTTTGACCTTTGACTGTTAAACTTTCTGTTTTCCTGCCTCATTCCTCGGTCATGATTCTGTTTCAGGTTAAACTGAGTGATGACTAAAGTTACAGAAACATCTCAGTTCTTTGTAGAAATAACATCAGTTCAGTCAAAACGTTTTAATCCTTCACAAACATGAAATGAAGGTTTGAACAGAGACTTTAATGTTCAGTAGGAATCCATTTCCCTTCAGGCACAGCTGAGGTGCAAAATGATGTTTGTTCTGGATCTTTAACATGTTTTGATCTGCACCAGTAAACCCCTGTTAATAGGGCCCCTGGTCCAGCTCTCCGTTTCTAGGGTTAGGTTCTACCTGCCTCCAGGATTCTGTAAAAATGTTTCAGCTGGTGTCGAGGAAACTCGCCTCGCCTCGCTTCTAACTGCAAACGTCTACCCCGCTTCTTCTGATATTTGACCCAACTAAGTAGCCTCAGTAGTCAAATCACTCCATCAGACGTGCTTGTTGATGGCAGCTTTCCTCTTAACGGATCGAGCACTTGGTAATTGTGAAGTTACAGTTTAGAGGTTTGGGAAAATTAACTCCACGGATATGTTTAAAAATACTGTTTTACGGGGCGCCGCTATAGCTCACCTGGTTGAGCCGGCGTCCCATGTGCAGGGCTACAGTCCCAATGTGGAGGTCATGAGTTGGAATCCCGCTCATGATCCTTTCCCACACGTCCTTCTCCCGTACTTTCCTGTCTCTCTCTCACTAACACTGTCCAATGAAGGCCAAAAAAATAACGTAAAAAAAATACTGTTTTACTCATGACTTCGAATAACCTTTTAGAACCACTGAAAAGATCTCATGCACACATTTGTCTAACTTTTTACTGCCATCAGATACTGTGAATGATCCAATAAAATTTCAAACAAGTAATCTTTAAATGCAGGATTAAATATTCATTGTAAACCTTTAGCAGGAGTAAAGCAACAGCTCTTCATCATTTACACAAACAATATGGAAACATGATTAAAAATTGATTGTTTCAGATAAAAATGATAAAACTGAGCTTTTCTGAATTAGGAGCCTAATAAGTAATTTTAGGGAGGGAGAGAGAGTCCCGGACAGCTCGGCCTTTGCTCGCCAACTCAGCCCTGTTTAGACCTGAACCTGGAGGAGTCCTCTTCCGAAGGTACAGCAACCCAGTACAGAGTCCTGATCCCTGGACAAAACCCTCCTGAATCAGGCAGAGATGAGAAGTCCCGACTCCGATCAGATCTGCAGTTCTTTTGCATCCATTTGGGGAAGGAAACAAAGTTTTTCTTCTAGCAGAACACAGAACGGGGTTCCAGCTGGGGTTCCTGTAGCTCACATGCCTTATTCCTCCACTTGTCTCTGAGTTCATAAGGCAGTTTCAGAAGGATGGACCTCATGTTGGAAGCAGCACTCATTTCATTTCAGTTTCCTTCTCAGATTCCTTTCCAACAGCACCATCTTGTGGCTGAGCATAGGACCACACCGTTTACTGTCCCTTTAATGCTCGTTGACGTGAACCAGTGAAAACGCCGGATGCTGAAGGCACAATGTTTGAAACAGCCAATGTGTTGTGGATTGTAGCACTCAGTCAACCAACTCCGTTATATTCGCTGTTGTCTCATACAACTTATCGCATTGCTTTTCCAATAAAGCTTAGTGCTGCACACACCCGCTCTCTCTGCGCGCGCTGGCCTCCGGCTTTCCAATCTCCGTCAGTCACGTGACTAACGCACTAACGCGTCAGTGGACAGCTGATTCAAATGTGGCGGCGTCCGACGATGCTTTTCCACTGAAAACAATCCTGAACCCGTTCGGATAATCCACAAGCTCAGTACTCACTCACACAGAGAGTTCGTGTAATTACATTTTTCCAGTGTCCTGTGATTGCCGCTGCTGCACAGGAGGATCAGAGTGAACCAGATCAACGAACAGAATCTCCAGTCCTTACACTTACCCTTAATGGATGTTTATTCGATGATATATATATACAACGAGAATACAGTGGTTCTCCTACTGTTAATGTGGTATGCAGGCTTGATGCTGGGCTGCTGCTGATCTGGTGAGAACCTGTGCCCTCCTCTTCCTGTGGACTGACTGACACCACAGTCCACTCCCCTCCCCGACCCCCCAATCTACCTCACATCCACCTACTGTGAACTCTATTTAAATGTGCAATATCACCACTGACCATGCTGTGCAATATCTTTCTAAATTTTTCTAAATTCATACTGTACATATAACTTATCTGNATCTCGCCACACCCGGCGATGCCCCACACACCACTGCGCAGCGTCCAGACCTCTCTGCTCAGCATTGAACCGGTTCCTGTTCCCGGGTGGGTCGACGCTGTCTCACCTGATCCTGTTCCCGAGCAGGTCAACACTGCCTCAACCAGCTCAAAGGAATGGGACCTGCCAGAGTCAGCTGACAATCCCCCTGGAGTAGACACTGTCTCATAGTCAGTTGACTATTCCCCTGGCAAAGAGGCTGCTCCAGCCTCTCATGCTCCTGAGCCTCTGCCTGCATTGGCCTCCACTGCTTCAGAGGGGCTCTGCTGTTGCTGGAATCCAGTCTGGCCTCCTGAGGGGTCCCACCTCCTTCATCGCCGGTTCCCAGTTGGCTTCCATAGGGGTCCCGCCTTTGCCGGCTCGCCAAGGGACCCCACCTCCTATGTCACCGGATCCCAGCCCAACCTCCAGAGGGGCTCCACTGTCACCGGAATCCAGTCCGGCCTCATGAGGGGTCCCACCTCCTTTGTCTCCAGGCTCTTGTCCAACACCTCGAGGGATTCTATCTCCTTTGTTGCTGGCTTCCTGAGGGGTTCCATCTAGTTTGTTGCCAGCCCTCCGTGTCCTTCATCGCTGGCCCCCAACCCGAATGCATAAGGGTCCCTGCTCGTCCATTGCTGGTCTCCAGTCTTACTACTCGAGGGTCCCTGTCGTGTCTCTGTCTGGCCTCACTATGGGTTCCGTCACCGGCCTCCAGCCCAACCACCCAATGGCTGCCATCGGCCTCCAGCCAGATTGCCTGATGGGTTCTGCTGCTGTTGGCCTCCAGTTCAACTACCTCTGTGGTTCCAACTGCCCGACCAGCCTCTGGACCATTCTGCATTTTGGAATGTAGTTCATTTTGACCACAGACTGCCCGCTGGCTTTGTCTTGTTTTTTCTTTTGGACTCCTTATTTGGACCTGCCTCAGGGCTGTCCTCCACACTGTTCTGGTCAACTTTTGTTGGTTTTTTGTTTTGTGCTGTTTTATTGTTTTTTGGTTGTTTTTTTTTTTTTGCAGTAACGACACAGTGACCTTTACGTCCACCACTTCAGTTGGTTTAAATCAAATCCATCACTGACATTTTATTCATCCAGATGGCATCATGTGAATTCATGAACTGCTAAAATGAGCCATTACCAAGTTTTCCATGTATCTTCAATCTTTCCTGACAGGTTCTGGTCTGAAGGTAGAGACATCATGTACAACAACATCAGACACAGTTTGTGAACCACTGGAGGGATTCTTCTGTTTCGACTCTACAGAGAACAACTGTGCAGCAGCACAGAAACACAGCAGCTGTCAGCCAGGACAATACATCAACAAAACAGGTTGGTATGTTTGTGGTAAGACTTTTGGTAAAGCTTTAAATAAGAACAGCAAAAGTTCAGGGAGTCTGACCTCATTATAGTTTCATGAAGTTGTGATTTGTGGCCAGTTGATTTGAGTAAAGAAGCACCAGAATAAGATAAAAGGAAGATAAAATAAGAATCTGTTGTGACCAACAGCTGTGTAAAACTACACCGCCTGCACACCTGATCTTTGCTTTTTCTTTTTGGCTTTCAACCAGCTTCAACCATCTCTTCACATCAACCATATAACACAGTTTATTGAAGGTTCTTTTGTGGTTCTTGCAGCCAAAACTCTTCATGAATCATTACACTAACATCAGTGAACAGTTTGCTCAGTCGTCCTTTAATATTTGGCGTTTGCTGATTCCAGTCTGATCCTTCTCCTCACCTGAATGATTAACTGATGAAATGTGTTTGATTGTTGTTCCGTCTGCTCTTCATTCATCATGTAACACTCTGAGTCCTTCATAATGAGATTGTGAACTGGTTTCAACATATCTGTGGTTTGTGTTTGTGCAGGAACAGCCTTCACAGACACTGTGTGCTCTGACTGCAGCGCTGGAACGTTTTCAGATGGAACATTTGCATCTTGTCAGGAACATACTCAGTACGTGAAGCTTTAAATCACACATGGAGACTCCCGACTTCTGACAACAGCAGAGGATTTGTTGTATCTGAACATTTTCCTGTAACAATGTCCTTCTGTCATTCCAGATGTGAATCAGGAAACCTTCAGCTGATAAAAGCAGGAACTGCTTCTTCTGATGCTGAATGTGGAGAAGAAAGTTTAAATGTTCCAGCAGCTGTGATCGTCCCTGTTTTACTTTTTTTATTATTAATATCTGCTGGATTAGTTTCTTTCTTTTACTTCAAAAAGAAGGAAACATGTCTAAAACTAGGTGAGGATGATGGAGAACAATAAATGTGATCACGCTTTGTCTGGATGATGATATTTTTTCCAAGTCCCGACTCTGATTAAGATGTTTTTTTTTCTTGGTTTTGTTTCATAACAGGAAAAAGAAGTTCAAATGTTCACAGAGAGGTAAGTTTGTTTCTCTCTCATGTGTTCACTGTTGACAACACTTGGTTTATCTGAGAAACTGAAGTGTGTCATTATTTTTTTCACATTTCATTGAAAAAGTAAAAAGCAGATGGAGAAGGATCATCAACATCTGTCGGTAAGTCAGCAGTGTGTTGTTCACTGAAATGTTCATGAGGTCAATGAGGTTTCTGCTTTAACTGAATGTTTTTCTCTCCTCAGCCTTAAACACAAACCTGCAGGACGGCAGGTAGAACTTCATCCACCTGGATGCTGACACATTGTCTTTGCAGTGAACTGAAGTCAAACAACAGTGAGCTGAGGGTCCTGCTCACCCACAGTCTGGATCTTTAGCTCACAGCGACTTCACTGCACAGAACATGAAGCCGCTCTGGAACACAACAGATGGAGCATTAATTTAAAGACACACTGACTTCATTGATCTTCTCACAGTTGGAGGTGAACTTGAGACTGAAACTGAATTTCAAATGAGGACAAACTGCAAGAACAGAAGATAAAGTGTGCTTTCCTGCAGCATGATGGACCAACAGCTGCCATGAGGAGGAACATCTTGTGGATTTAAAGAGATACTTCACTGTGGAAAGACAGTTGGACACAGAGCATTATTGCACTTTGGTTCAGAATGTGTGTCACTGTTTCTGAAGTAAATTCACAAAGAGCTTTCATGACCCCTCAGCCTCAGCCCTCTCAGTCCCTCCAGTCCTGCTCTACCTGCCTGATTACAGGTATTGGAGACATCTGTGGGGATCGGCTCACCTGCACTCAATCTTCCACCTCCTGCCATAAAGCTCAGCTCACTCCTCCACACACCACCAGATCAAAAACCTTCATCCCCCATGTATCTTCTGATCCCTGCTCTGTTTCCTGCCTTGATCCTCAACCAATCTCCAGCCTGCATTCCCCCAGCCAGCTTTCTCCTGCCACTGATCCCCACCCTGCTTCCAGCCTGGATTCCCCGAGCCTGTCTGCCCCCTCAGTTTTGTCCCCTTTTTACGAGTATCCTGTTTGTCTGACTAGCTTTGGTTTTAAATCTTAGAATTCATTCATTTTTCCCCTCTGCTCTTTGTTTTGAGCTTTTTGTAGTTTAGCCCCTTTGTAAATTTGTTCTGGTTTTCCCCGTTCTGTTGAGCTTCCTCCCTCTATATTGGTTTCTGCTTATCTTTAATAAAGTCCTTTGTTCGATTCACCTGCCTGTATCTGTGTCTGCACCTGGGTGCCCGGACCTTTATTGAAATAGTTTTTCTGGAGCATGAACTGGTCATAAGTTTTAATGTTCATCAAAAATAGTCAGGAAACAATTTGACGCTTCTTCCAGCTGATTTAAATTAAAACTCTGAACATGACCTGCTCCCGACCAGGTTAGCTCCACAGCATCAGTTACCATGGAGATCTAGCAGGTAAAAAGAGAGCCGCCTTGGTGACACTGAAACTCTGACTTTAAGCTCAACATACCTGTTAACCCATTAATCTCTCTTCGTAGTACAGCCCTCTGGTGTGTTTTCCTGAAAAGACATTCCTAAATTCAATCTGCAACAGTTCCTCAACTTTAAGTCCAGAATGAACAACATTCAACTTTATGCAGAAGAGAAACTTTGGAGAATCTTGAAATGCAGCGACTGTCCTTGTCCTCTCCAGGTGAGGGGGAAAAACTCCAGGAAAAAAAGACATTGTTATCCTCATCTTGTGTGTTCAGAGAGCCGGAGTATATCAGGAAATTTCTAAACTGAGAAAAAAAAGTCTCTCAGCTGACTATAAGAAGCATTTATAAGTGGCAGTAACCCAGTTAATTTCCACATGACACACTCACTGTGTTATTTTCTTATTGTAAAAATGACAGGCTTTTCTGTTTTTTTCCTTTCATGCCGACTTACATGCTAGCTGTTTAGCTCAAAACTAATCTTGCTCCTGCTTCGTATTTAACACAGACATGAAAATGTGCACAGATCTGCTGATAGAAACAAAAAGACATTTGATGCAAAAGTTAGGAGCTCTTCATTGTACCCAGGTGACCGTGTGCTCCTGCAGAACATGACTCCTCGCGGTGGCCCTGTGAAGCTAAGGAATCACTGGGAAGACCATGTCCATGTTGTAGCTAAGCAAGTAGGCAATGACATGCCAGTCTATGGGCTCAGACCAGAACAGGGCAAAGGCAAGACTAGAGCAGTGCATCGAAACCTGCTCTGACTCTGTGACCACCTGCTGCGGGAAACCAAAGTTCCTGCCCCTGTGAAACCAAAAAAGGACAATGTAGTACAGGAAAAGGACACTCCTGTGACAACAGACTATGACCCAGACACAAATGATTCGACAGCACCTGCTCCGCTCCAGCTTGAGGACGTCGCTGGAGACGAGGATGTTCGTGCAGATGATGCTGAGGTGTCCTCTGTCGCCAGCAGCACACGAGAGGATGAGATGGATGTAAGACCTCAGCACCCTCAGAGAGATCGTACGGCACCGAAGGTGTTCAGATACGACACACTTGGTACTCCGTCATGTTGTTATGCTGCTACAGTACCACCTTATGGACCTCAAGTGTGGCCTGAACCTGTAAACACATATAGCAACCCTAACTTCTACCCTTATGGAATGTGAAACAAATACTGTTTGGAGTATGTGACCATCATTGTAAACATGTTATCTGTGATTGTTACTCAGAGTTCTACTTGCAGAAATGTTGAGGACAACATTTAATTTTTGTGGGGGAGTGTGTGACTGGTTGACTTTGTGTTGGTTGTGCAGTTGCATTGCGAGTCCAGTAGGGGGAGCTCACTGCCTTTGAGCTTCATGGCAGGCCGTCTCTTCTTCTGTAATAAACCAGCACAGTGTGAAGAAAGACGTGTCTCTGCATTCTTTCTCATAAATATTCCCCTTTCCAGGCCTGTTACAGTCACAGCTGCTATATCAGGCTTTGGGTGCCCATGACCCTGTCGTCGGTTAACCGGTTGTCCTCTTTTGGACACTTCTGGCAGGTACTAACCACTGCAGACTGGGAAAACCCAACAACACCTGCTGCTTTGTTCTGACCCAGTCGTCCAACCATCTCAATCTGGTCCTTCCCAGTTTGTCCTGCTTCCAGCACCTCAGCTCAAAGAGGTGACTGTTCCCCTGCTGCCAAACATGAACCATGATTAGATGATCCATGTTCTTCACTCGACCTCGTTTGAATGTTGGTGTATGTCGTCTGTGTAATCTAGACGTTAATGCAACTGTTTCCAGGATTCTTTACCTTGACTTTAGCAGGAAGAGGAGACGTGTCCTGTATGTTTATATCCTGCAGGTGCTGAAGGAGCTCTGTGGATCAGTGATCGATTACTTTTCCTCAGTGATCCAGATGTGTGGCACAGTGTGACAGACTCTGAATTCTATGAACCGAATTTGAAATGGAGAGAGTTGAAATTTAAGTGAGGATAAAACATAAATTCAGAACAACAGAATTCAATTTAAAACTATAAAATTCAGTTTCAAGTTTAGTGGAACAGCTTCAGCAGGTTTCGTCTTTTATCCAGTGCAACATTTATTTTGACTGATGAACTGATACTTTTCTACTATCAGTGTTCTGTGCAGCACTGAATGTGTTGGAGATCATCACAACTACAGACATGAGTATCAGGTTATAGTGTATTTACAGTTGCAGTCACTAATCGTGGCAGTTCCAGTCTGCGCCCACTAGAGGGAGTCACATACATTGAAAACTCCTACTTGCTTTGTTAAGCCTTTACTTTCATGCCCATTGGTTTGTTCTGTTGCTTACATGATTTATTTGGACCGAATTAGTACATTTCCAGCCAGATAATTCAGTGCTTATTATTGTATTATATCTTTTGAGATATTTTTACAGTGTTATTAATATTCTTTTGTACTTCAAACTCAGGACACTTACCGTCCATGTGATAATAACCATCGGAAACATGACTTTGAGTTTGAAACGGTTGGGGAAATGATGCACCCTATGTTTAAAATAGTACACAGTATTTGTCTTCCTGACTATTAGATACAGTCACTTTTAATTTCACGTCTTTTCATGAATGATAATGACCTTACTAGTCTTAAAATAGAACTGAAATCATGTGACTGAATTGAGAAAATGACTGACTCAGGGTGAATGCAGGTTCACCTGGACAGGTCACCAGTCTATCACAGGGCTACACTTAGAGACAGACAACCAAGCACACTCACATTCACACCTACGGACAATTTAGAATCACCAATTAACCTCAACATGTTTTTGGACTGTGGGAGGAAGCTGGAGAACCCGGAAAGAACCCACGCTGCACGGGGAGAACATGGAGACTCCACGCAGAAAGATCCTGGTGCTGGGATGCAAACCGGCAATCTTCTTGCTGTGAGGCAACAGTGCTAACCACCAAGCCACCTTGCAGCCCTGCACAAGTACAGTTTATCTCAAATAGAAGCTTCTCCACAAATGCCCCACAAAAGCTAAACGTTCTCATCACTGTTGTTGCTTTTATTCTTACTGGGCTGTGAGGAGACAACACTGAATGACGGGCAACACACTTATGTGCAGAGAAATGAGATGTTACAAAAACCCCACATGAATTCTCTTCTTACAGCATCAGAAGCCAAATGTCCAATATGAATCAGGTCTAGAACCATAGATGAGTATTTGAAAAACTACGGGTTAGTTATGCTTAAGCGTGAGAAACAAACCGGATTTGAGTCACTTCATCAGAAAACGTGAATGTTGGTCATAATTCTTACTAACGTGTGGAAACATGCAGGAAGGAACCAAAGCCAAAGACTCGCCTTCAAACCCAGTTAGTCATCAAAACAAGGGATGTGAAAATTGTAGGTGTTTCATAAACTCCTATTTTAGATGGTTATTTTCCATGTGTGGGTTAACATGCTGCACATGACATACAGCTCTGTACAGGATGTAGTTTACAACACAAGTGATCTTCAGGCAGTAAGATGGAAGCCCTTAGAATAATAAATTATGTAGAGAAGCTCCAGAAATCTCAACATTTCCCCTTTAAGTCTCTCTTTGGAAAAGCTGGGAGTTAAAAAACAACCTACCTGGACAGCCACCCAGCTGCCAGGGGACGTTCCCACAGCAGAACATTACCTACAAGGGCTAATCATTTTTTAGAGAAAACGTTTTACTCAAATGTTCAAAGAATGTTTGAAAAAGTTTTGCATAGCCGTTAATGTTCTGATAAAGTTACTACGATGTTTTAATGCCAGAATTCAGAGGATGCTGTCAGGAACATGGATTATGTTATGACAAAGGAGGAACGTTCTCAAATCAACATTTAAAAAATGTTTCAAATTGATATTGAGGCCTGAGATTATTTTTATAAAACGTTCCTATAATGTGATACATTAACAAAGGTGGAACATTCTAGTAACGTTTTGGGGATGTTGGTGAGAGAACACATTATAGAATCTATAAAACGTTCCCTCAGTGTTCCACAATGTTACACGATAACAAAGAATGCTTTCAGTGCAACATTTGATTCGGTCTAACGACCACCAAACATTTTTAGAACATCTTCAGTTTTCCTACCTTTAGGAAGAACGTTCTGGGAACTGAAAGGAAGCTGAAAACATCAGCAGAACTATTAGTGGAACTTTGCAGAACTTTCTCAGAATGCATTTGGAAGAAAGCAGTTAAAGGAAAGACATCCTACAGACTTGTTTATGTAAGTTAAAGGACGTATCCTGGTCAAAAATGACTCCAAGGTTCCCAACAGTACAATATCCACTCGACTGAGTTGATTCGTCTCTAATCACACCAAGAAACTGCAGTTTAAATTTTTTTTTAAAAAGCCCAATGAGCGCCGCAAGAAGAGTTTTTTTTAAAGCATAAAGAAGTCTGTTAAATCAGACATTATCTTCAAATTAACAACCTAACAGTTATTTTTCATATGATTCTAATAATCTAAAATTACATTTATGCCTCTCTCTGTTTGTTTTTACAGAAAACATACTACAATAATTAGATATTATTTTTCTGCTTTCATAAATTGCACAAAAGTTATGTGGAAATCATTATGTGTGGTTAAACTTGTGGCTCTTTATATAAAGCTCTTTGCCCATACTATTAATTTAACTCTCCTCCTTATAATTTAAAGGTACATTGACTTAGTTTTATATTTATACATACTTTTAAATTCAAACTTAGCTTCTTTCATTACATCCAACGTAATGCAGAGATTTTATTAAATTCTTTAAAAGTACCAAAATGTAATCAGACTGTTTTTCTTTTTAAAACAACCAGAGCATGTGTTAACTGTTGTGTTGGGTTTACAAACAGCAAATTCACTGAATTCAAGTGTCCATCAGAGTTATTGACTGCAGTAAAACACATGTTTACATTTGAGACATCACACAGAAATGTATAGGAAATGTTTTCTGACATGTTTTTGCATCACATGTGAGACACAGAGACACTTTAATTAACAGCCAACTCTGAAAGTGTTCAATTCAACATCATCACTGTGTGTAAATGTGAAGAGTTCATTTACAAACACAGAGAACTCCATCTTCACAAACCTTCAGAAAACCCACTTCTCCATCGTCCACCTGAGACAATATCAGTCAAACTTATGTTATCTCTGTTTTTGTCATTTCTACTGAGTCAAATCCACTCAGTTCAGTTTGATTGATTTTATCTCAAGCAAACAACAAAAAAAATGTTTTCTGAAAATCTACAAAAATGGAGTTATCTGTTTTTACAAATGAACTCTTCATGTTTTGTGTTTTTACCAGCAGCAGACACTTTGTGTTGTGAGTCAGAGAAGACTGAACTCCACTGAGTTCAGAGGCTGCTTTTATGGTGAGGAATAATGAAAGTGAAAGAGACGTTTGGAATTCCCCTGGCATCAGGCCAACTATTGCAATCATGTGTTTTATCTTCACCCAAACAATGACTGAGTGATAAAGAATCTCTTCCAGCAACCTGAACTAAACCCTTTTAGGTCTCAGTCGTTACTCTGATGAGGTGGATTGACAGTAAAGTTGGTGACTGCATCAACTTAACATTTAAATTCAAATCATTGTGATTTCAGACTAAATTCAAGTTGTAGTAACTTAATGAAACTGACTCCAGAACTTTATTTCTCTTCACTTTGACTTCAGGACTTCAAGTCTCCTCCTTTATCTGAACAAACCTGGACAGTTTCAGACAGTTAAGGCAGGACACTAAAATACATTTGACTGTAGAGGAAAAGTTAATGTAGTTTGTTGGTTGAACATAATTTCATTAGATGTTGTCAAACCTTAAAGAGACTGAAGCAGATAGTTGCAATATTTTATATTGTCAAAGGTTGTTTGTTTTTGTCTTTTTCTAAAAAGGTCTCAATAAATATATTTGAAGACTTTGGTGGTTTGGGTTGTTTGTGGGTAAAGCTTCATGTTTCTTAAGCTTCATAATAACTTATAAAACCAGAGACAGGAAA